GTTTTTACGTTCTCACACTATTTACTGTTTTTTATTTGAAGTTCAAATAAAAACAGAAAATAGTGTGAGAACGTAAAAACACTATGTTTATGTTATTATTCTGTAATGAATTTTGTATATGTGTATTGTTGAAGTAATTTTAATATAAATATTAACTTTCGATTAGTTATATATTCATTACAATGTTATTATTCTATTATAAACTTATATATGTGCATTTTTGTAGTAAATTCTAATTTTAATTTTAACCTTTAACTATTCATTTTTTCTTTGCTGAATAATGACATAAAGTTGTCGATACAAAATTCATTGCAGAATAATAACATAAAAAACTGTTTTTACGTTCTCACACTATTTACTGTTTTTATTTGAACTGTCCCCTATATATATATATATATATATATATATATATATATATATATATATATATAATATCTTATGATTTTTTGTGTAATGCCATTTTCATATATATTATCATTATGAGTCTAAATCGTTCGTTTTTTATCGATTTATATTGGGATGGTCAGATTGAATATGATAATGGGTTCATAAAGGGCGATCAATCAACTTTGACCACTTCAAATATGGTTAGACATAAAATAGGCTATGAAAAAAATTAAAGATTTGATTTATGCACATGCTGGAGTTGACAATATAACTTAAGTTGTATCTTACTATGTTACAAATTTAGTTGCATATATAATACTTCACAAGTCATAAATGATTCAAGTTTAGAGGTGATGTACTATTTGACTGAGAATGAGCAGATATTGTAGGAAAGTTATTGTTAAAGCTAAACAAATATCTCATGAACAATCAAGGATGCATATAAATACCGATTTTGTAGATCTTCTTCGAAATTTTGATGCATCACAACCGGTACAGTCACAAGTGACCAACTCCTCAAATATATCATTTTCTTTTCCCAATGATGATAGATTTGAGGCGGGAGATCACTTTGGGCTTGATGAATCCAACTCACAAGATAATGAAGATAATGTAAATGAGTCACAAAGAAATTTTGAGGATGAGTTAGATGATGTGTGTGAAACACTAGTTGTGAATTTTATGAATGGTATTAGATGTAGGAGATGATGTCATAGAAACTTCTCAAGACATATAGATGTTTGGAAAGAATCGGAAACCGAAATAAGGTTAGGAATGCAATTTGAAGTAGGGTGGAAGTAGAAAGACAGTAACGCTTTGGTTGATCTCCCAAAACAGAGAGTTCAAACTGTACGGAAGGAAAATTAATTTATAGATAGAAAAATGCAAGACTCTAGGAAATGAAGGAAAAAGTTCTGGTGTCACGTCCTATACACCAGGTTATGTATGGTATTTTAGTACAGTTAAGAAGAAAAATTATCATATGTGGAAGATTAAACGTTTGGTGGGTGCACATAATTGTTTTGGATCATGTATAGGTAACAGTAACAGAAATTTAAACTTTGCAACTAGTGTTAAATGGTTTCATAATACAAATGGCTCATCAGATGTAGTGACATTTAAATACGTTTTTTGGGCTTTGGCTCACTCAAAACTTTTTGTTAGCCGAGATTGAAGGCGTTCAAATCGAATACGCAACGAGATGGATGTTCTTCATCCTAATGAAACTCAAAGATATGGGCTATGTCATCAAGCTGATCATAACTGAAGAAATTGTTTAAATTTTCAACCAAGATTTAATGCAATGTGAATCATGTTTTTTTTAATTAGTCTTTTCATTTCCTCTTCAATTTGTATGATATTTCTTTTATAATTTTGTGTTCGTTTTTTCTTGTAATTTAATGTTTGGTTGAAACTTGTCTTTTCGTATCATTGTAATATATTTGATATAGTATCAATTTGAAGGTATTTCATGAAATAATTTTAATTATATATTTATAGTTTACATAGTTGTTATATCAAAAGTAAAAAATAAATACTTAGAAGTAAAATATATAAAGGAAAAAGACATTTTAAGTTAAAGGACCAAAAATATTATTTAAAAAATGTAAAAACTGTAAATTTTAATAAGACTAATCTATGCCAATTCAAACAACTTTATTTTTAAAAGGCATTTTGCAAAATAAAGTAGAAACTAAAAAAATGGTAGGAACCGCGAGTATAATTTTTGGTCTTAAGATTGAAAAAATAAATGACCAGAATTTGATTTTATTTACCGTAAAAGTCTCGCGAGATGATATGTCATTTTGGTAATTAGTTGCGAAATTTTGATAATTTTCAGGGAATGTTAACTGTTTGGATGGCACAAGTGACAAAAACAAAAAGATTAAAAAAAACAAAAAAAAAAAAGAAATAAATTTTGGCCCATATGGCCTCTCTGGAAGCTAACACATGCCCCACCCCACAGCATGACAAGTGTCTAGCATTTTTTGGCTGGTGAGTTTTTTTTCCACTCGCTTAGTTTTTCGACAATAACTTTTTTTTATTTAAAAAAATATTTTGAAAAAAACCAAAGTTCTTAAAATTTATTTCTCTATAAAATGAGCATAATTATGACAATTTGAAAATTTGACTTTTTTTATATTTATAAAGAAATCCAGAAAAAAATAATTCTCCAAAAATTATAAAAATTTAAGGAATACTTCTACTCACTATTCTAATGACTTTGTAAATTTTTTTTTTAAAAAAAAATAAGGTGTTTTAGATACCAAACTTGATTTTGAAAGATTAAAATTTTTTAAAAAAATATTGAACATAATATGATCAAAATAGAGATCATTCTAAATATTTATGATTCAAAAATATTATGATCCAATATGTTTATAATTTTTAACTTGTTTTGATTTAAAAATATTTTGATTCAAATATTGAATGATCCTTAATTATTATATTTTTTATGATTCAAAAAATATAATGATTCAAATGTTGTATTGAACAAAATGTTAGTTAATTCAATATATTATGATCTAAAATAATATAATTAATATGATCCAAAATTTTATGATTCAAAATGATATGATTCAAAAATATATGATGCATAATATTGTTATGATTCAAATTTTTTTATAATGGTTAAACATCATAAACTTGAACCGATATTTAATTCAAAAAAAATTAAAAAGAAAAAAGAAAAGAAACGAAAAAAATAGAAAAACTGAAAAACTGACTATATATTGATAAAAAAAAGTTAATTTTTTTAAATAAAAGATAAATAAGAAAACGAATAAAATGAAAAAAAAATAACTTAGAAACCAAATATAGTATTACCTTAAAAACTTTTTTTTTCAAAAAAAAATAATAAAAAAAATAATAAATAATAATAAATAACCGAAAAAGAAAAGAAAAACACATTTAAATGACGTTCTATGGACATTCGTCGCACATGATTATTCCTCGATACCGTATTAAGTTACATGGACGTGTGTCGCGTGCGAACGCGTCACAACCAAATAAATGAATTTGATGTTTGTGTCATTGACGAAATAGTTGGTAGAGAATAGTAATCGGCTCATCGCGGTTTCTACCAATTTTTGGCTTTTTATCAGATCCAGACCCTTTTGCAAAATGCCATTTTATATAAGGAAAAAAAATCTTAAAAACTCTTCCTAAGTTGCTTGCATCACGTCTTTTTAAACACTGCTCTTTTTTTTTGAACCGGCAAATACAAATATATAATCTACTCCTCCTAAACTAATACCGATCCAGACCCTTTTGCAAAATGCCAATTTATATAAGGAAAATAAAATCTTAAAAACTCTTCCTAAGTTGCTTGCATCACGTCTTTTTAAACACTGCTCTTTTTTTTGAACCGGCAAATACAAATATATAATCTACTCCTTCTAAATTAATACCTAAGTTCACCTATGTCCACGACGGGACTTGAACCCTCAACCTCAAAGAAGGAGGGCACCACCGATACCGCTGGGCTAGAAGCCCTTTGTTGAACCCTCAAACTCTTCCTAAGTTGCTTCCATGGTCGATTTTAGCTATAGAGTCGACGCCTATCAACTATCACCAAAACACATAAGGGGCAAATTTATCTAAATGCATAAAGTTGGGGTCATTATTGCCCAAATGCATAACACTAGGTCATTTCTAGTAATTTTGTTAATCTTTTGGGTTTGTTTGTGCAAAGGAATGATGTAATCGGGTCCACTGGGGTCATATTTGAAAATCTGCTTAAATATCGAACGGATTCATCTTCCCCAAACCGCCACAATTCCATAATCAAACTACTTCCGGCGGGGGTTCTTCTCTGAATTTCCTCTCTGCAATCGGCTATCGTCATCTTTCTCCTCTTCTCTTCATATCAGGTAACATTTAATCTGTACTACTATTTCTATAATGCAATCACTTGTTATGTTCTTGTTCATCGATCTCCGATTTATCATTTTTGTTCGATTTTCAGCTAGTTGCTTCAGTTCTGACGAGTTTTCGTCTCCTGTGTATAATGATTTGAACTAATAAAATAGGATAAATTCTCTATGTAGTAATTAGGTCTGTCGTGCCATAAGTATCTACGATCTTAAGTAGCACTACGATAAAAGGATTTGCAGTAAATGTGTCGTTCGTTTATGCACTCATTTTCACAAAGCTGTTTGATGGATCGAGGCATATTGCATACCATTGGTGAAGAATGTATCAGGTTTACACAAATGTCTGTTTCTGGGGAAGTTTTAGCTCATTAAAACCTGGAAGCTAACTGGTACGAGTAACTACTTAGTTTTGATTGAATGGATTCATGGAATTGAAATCTGAATTTCTGTTGCTTATGGATTCCTGAGATTCAATTTGATTTATATGTTTACATTTGTGGGAGATTTTAGCTTGAAAGCTAGTTTGCAGACTCTTCGTAATCATAACTACTAACCTAGTGATCCGGATCATGGATTGGAACATTGAATTAATATGTTAATGAGCATTTTTACAAATTGTTTTGGCTTCTTCTCACTATTTTGATCCTAAATAATCAGAAATTAGAATCATAAATATGTTAGTGTATATTGGTTATCATGTTAGCAGTAAATTAAATTGAGCTTGTATAATACACAGTAATGGAATCACAAGGAGCAGCAGGAAAACCATGGACCCCTAAGCTGACTCTTGAATGTTACCTAAATTTGAATAATTTGGACTCCATTTCTTCTACTACTCTTCGAAAGGTGAGATTCTTCTTGAGCATTTTCTCCAGCAATTTTGTATGATTTCAATTGGTATTAATGAGCTATTTTTGTAAACAGATAATCACCATGCATGGATTCAATAGCATCAAAGTTCCAAAGGTTATTCATGCGATTTAAATGCTATTAGTTAAAACAGTTCTGAATTCTTTTATTTGTTATTTACAAAACTAAAAAATATATATTTGCAGAATGATTTAATGGATGCAGTGGGGTCCATCGAGCTGATGGATGCACATCACTCGACACTAGAAAACGACTTTGTGTCTTCAGACGCATACTTAAGTCTGAATGATGTGATTGAGGATCTTTCAGATATTCATTGGCAAGAATGTTGCATCACTTCTATTCAGACTATCAATTCCACCATTGATTTTAGCTCCAAGGATATTGATGACGTGGCAGCATGCTCCTCAATTGTGATTGACAATGGAAACAAAAAGAAGAAAAGTAAGCTCACTGATAAAACCCCTGTATTGTTCACCTATGCTCGTAGAGGTGCGAAATAAAATAATAGTAAATAAAAGTGAAATAGATAAAAGGGCATTATAGTAATATTAAATATGTTTGTGTTGAACTTTCTAGAGACTAGCTTTAAAACATAACAATATAACTTTGACAATATGGGGTTTTTGTTATGCAAAATGTAAGGGTGTAAAAGGGTTATCAACATATGGTTGTTGAAGGGTTACATGGAAATTCAAACTCCTTGTGGAAAGAGTGTAAAATGAAACCTACAATATGATTTTCTTATGGAGTTTTGAAATGCATGAAGAACAATCATAAAGAACGCCCATTAGAAAACCTACACAACACCTGTAAAATGACTTACCGAAATGTAGTTGGTAAATTTTCATTTTAAATTATATATGACCGAAACTAAAAAAAAAAAAAAAAAGATGAAGTTTCATAAGAAATGTAACAAATTTAGAAGTTAGAGTGGTTAAATCTCTTCACAAAGTTTGAGGTATCAGAAAAAATTCGAAATGTGGTAATAAGTCATGGTTTCACTATTTTTTTGTACACCTAAATTCTCGAAAATTCTATTTGGTGTTTTAATATTGTGAAAAAAAAAAGGTTAAACTCATTATCGTCAATGGTCATTATTTAAACATCCATTAATGATTAAAAGCTAAATATTGCTGAACGATCCCAATTCTTAAAAATATTAAACTTTAAGTTGTACAAGGAAGCATTCAATTCATAAAGATCAAAGGTGTAAGTAATTATTACAAGTCAGTAGCCTTCTAAACGTTCCTCAAAATTAAGCTTCAATTCTTCATCATATCTCATATTTTATTCTGGATATACATCAAAATTAGACAATTAACGCCTAATGAGTTAATCTCGTAGTTGACCTTTGAAAGGAACAAGGATAAATCAACTACCCAAATTCCAAGATCAACTCCAAAAAATATTTTGAATTCATCAATAATTAAATCCTTGCATTTCACTCATTTGAAAGTCAATCAAAATTCATATCACAATAAATTTTATACAAATAAGGAATGCATTGCATGGATGAATTTAATCTTGTCTCAAATCAATCTCATAGTCCAACTCATAGTATTAGTGACACATGGGCTTGAATGTGGGATATACCAACGTCCTCTTGCCAAAATGAATGGTAAACAACATTCTCTTGCCCAAACCAAATGAGCTCAACAACATATTAAACGACTAACATACTTGTCATATTGCTCATTAAATACCAGGCTCTAGTATTTTACCCGTGAGAGGTAGTTTGATGAATTTCAGACTTGATATTTAAACAATCCAATTATTAATATGATGAACTAATCATAAATTATTTAGAATAGACAAACAAACGAATGGACAGATTTATAATTAAATATCCAAAATGTTTTCACAAACAACCAACGATTAATAGGGAAGATTAAACGTTGATATGTCGCAAGACAATAAATCCAATTATATTATTATTGTTACCAAGTTTCTTCTAGAAATCAGATTGATCATTCACGATCAGATCTAATTATAAGAAAGGAATAGAAACATGTTGTCATGTTATTGGATAACAATAAAGTAAACTGACCTGTTTGTAGTTGATCTCAATTTGTAGAAACCTATGGAGCTGACACTTGTCCTTAAAGGTTTTTACTTCGTTTCTATTGGTTGTAAGTAACAGAATAAAACCCTAGGATTTAATGCAGACTTATCGATTTTCCAACAGCAATGGAAAACGATAAACGCAAAGTGAATACTCAGAAATTGAGGGAGAGAGAGAGGGAGATTAATTTTCATGTGTGGAATACGGCTCCTAGGAGTTGCATTTATAGGTTTCGCAACCCTAGAAGGCAGCAAAAAGCCTTCATAGGCTGGACCCTAGAAATCCTAGGGTGACGCTTTGCTCTCCAAGCAAGCCAGTTTTTGGGTCTTCCAAAATATTCCGACGCGATTCCATGAACCCTATTCGGTCCAACTCAACCGATCCCGAAAACTGCTAAAAATAAAAGCTCCTCGAAACCCTAGAAAGCAGCAAAAGGCCCTCATAGACCGGACCCTAGAAACCCTAAGGTAACGCCTTGCTCTCCAAACAAGGCATTTTGTGGGCCTTCCAGAATATTCTGACACGATTTCCACAAACTCGGTTCCATCAAACTCTACCAATCCCGGAAATTGCTAAAAATAAAAGCTCTTCAGCTCCATTAAAGTCTTTGATCCACTCATGGCATTGGCTAGGGGCTAGACGTGCATGTGTTATTTGGTCCATCCCTTGATCCTTAGCCTTTGAAAGTCTATCAAGAGAAAAAAATTACAAAACCCACTAAATGTTTCTTCCTCATCAATGTGGGATAATGTTTATAAACAACATAGACTTAACATAAACGTGTAGAGGTTTTGATAAATGTCTTTATGTTTTTTGTAAACCAAAAATACGAAGTTATGAATGATGAAATTTTGTCTTTTTTTTTTAAAGAATAGTAGTTGTTCGAAACATATTATATTTTAAAATCGAAGAAAAATAGATATGAAAAAACTAGAATGTGCATCGTATAAAAAATGTGTTAAAAACCAGCCGACACATTTGATATTTTAAAATTAACAAATATATATATATATATATATATATATATAATATATATATATATATATATATATATATATATATATATATATATATATAGAGAGAGAGAGAGAGAGCTAGGTTCAAATGTTTTTAGCAACTATTGTGTGCATGAATGCACCAATAGGAAATTAGGAAAAAATAAATCATTAAATAAATCATTTAAGGGTATTATAATAATCTTTGCATAGTTATTTATGGTAGATTAACAACAATTCCTTATATCACGCAAGAAGCAAAGATAAATATAGAACATTAGCCCTAAATCTATTTCAATCGGTGCCCTGCACTGCGCATCTATCTTCCTCCTCAACTACCCCATTACAAAATTTCTTCTTTCATTTCAACAGGCAAAGGGCATCTTGACTGGAAACGGAATTCACGTCACTCACTTTCCTGGGCCTTCGATCGAAAACCCATTCCGACTCAACCCTCTACTCTTCCCCAAAATCAAGCAATCAAGCGAGATGAAATGGCGAAGATTTGTATCGTTCCCTATTCTAGCAGTTTTGGTACTAATGGAAATGGTCTATTATGGTACGGTTTTCGTATTTCTTGACGATTGGTTAGGGTTACAGAGCCCAGCAGGTTGGATAAACGTCGTGATCTTCACTTCGTTGGCATCGTTCACTCTTTTCTCGTTTTTCGTCTCCGTTCTCACTGATCCTGGTGGTGTCCCATCTGGGTATTTCCCTGATATTGAGGACAATGATGGCTCAGATCAAGAATCGAGAGACGCTGTAAGATTCACGTTTTATTCATATCCCCTTCGAATTATTCATACATATTTTGATCAGACCCATATCGGTTTTCTCTTTAGAACAGCTTATGTTAATTGAATTGGGTGATTATTTGTGTTTAAATTGACCCAAAGGGTGATGATCAAGGTTAAAAACTTTGTTCAAGATAACGAATCAACCTAATCAAAATCACAAGGAATTCAACCAAATAAATACTTCATATCGATTTCATATTGTTTACACTTGAAATCACTTATATCTTTTTCTTGATAAATACGATGCATATTTCAGGAAGCACTTAAAAAAAGATGTGACAAATGTCCTCCATACAAGCCTCCAAGAGCACACCATTGTCGAGTTTGCAGAAGGTGTGTCTTAAAAATGGTGGGTATGAAAGATTGAAATTACAATAACATAATCTATGTTTTGACCTAAAAAGTCAAATATTTGTTTTCATCATGTTATCTTCTCATTCTTTAACTTTTGTTTAGGATCATCATTGCACATGGATAAACAATTGAATTAATTTTGTTTGATTTCATATACCAACATAGTAAAGGCTTAATATCATATGCCAATATAGATTGGTGAAAGCTACTCATCTTGTTCTAGAAAATTGTTTAAAAAGGTAAGTAATTTGTTTGTGTATTATTTTGGTTCAATTTGTGATATTGAATTCCAATTTCTACTCTCCCTTTGTTATTGTGTATTTGGAATCTAAAATTATATTAGCAGTAAATACGATACTTTTTAATGTATTCTAGCTATTCTGTCAGAATATATTCTGCCAGAATAAAATCTATGTATTCTGCCAGAATATATTCTATGTATTCTATCAGAATATATAAAGTGATAGTTAATTGCAAGCAACATGTTTTTAACCATTATTAGTTTTTGTTGTATTCGTGATAGGAATGGCTGGAAGAATGTGTTGAAGACCTAATAGGAATAACTTGAAGAATGAATAAAGTTTGATCATACTCACATTTTAATAATGTTGTTATTTTTTAAGAATTTTATTCATTTTTGTTAATATTCTTTTAGAATATGTATAATTATATTAAAATGTATAAGACTTTTAGTCTGTAAGAATATGTATGAATTTGTATTTAAGTTTGGATGTATAAGAATATATATTAGAATGTTGTTATTTTTCAACCTCGGATTCAAGAACTTTGTTATTCTTCAATAATATTCTAATAGAATAAAATTCTGAAAGAGCATCATTCTAAATAAAAAAATATTATGACAGAATAAAATCGGTTATGTTTACAAATTATGTTATAATTAAAATTGAATTAATTAAAAAAATTCATATTTTTAAAATTAGGAGAATTAATTATCCATAAATATCCGAAAATTTCCTTTAATAATTCTAGTTAATTGTCCAAAATACCCTTTTGCTAAAATTTGTATGATTATATGGTACATGCTATCCCATTGTAATATCATACACTCTCAAATCATGTCCATTGATGAATTCCATCCGTTGGTCCAGATTTGTGCATTCTGGCACACAATAGTTAGTAAAAACAAAATAACCTAACCCTATATATATATATATATATATATATATATATATATATATATATATATATATATATATATATGGAAAATGAATAATTAGGGCAACACATATTTGAACCAATGAAAATATGACAACACATCACTTTAGGGTAACTACATAAATAACTTCCACAATACATTACTTGTGAATAAAGAAATGTACACGTGTCATTTGATTATTGGTTCCAGCATATGTTGCCCTAGTTATTTGTTTTCCATAGAACTCATATATATATATATATATATATATATATAGATATATATAGATATATATATATATATATATATATATATATATTATATATATAAATCTCGAAAATACTTACCAAAATCTAAGGATGATGCTTAGGGAAAGTTGAACTTGGAAAATCCTAGATTTGTTCTTTGAGAGAATAAGGAGAGACTTAACAGAAAGTAGAATGGGAGAATGGTGGGGCTTGTGGAAGGAATTCGTCCAAATATAGGGAGTGGAACTTGATGTGATATTTACTTGGAAATCTGTTGGTTATTACATGGATGTATGTTGGTTATTGCGTGGGTTACTGTAACCTTGCATGGGAAAAGGAATGAGACATCACATCTTAAAGTCAACTACTCTTATCTTAGTCCTAAAATAATATCTACTGGAAACTCAATAGGAATCATCCAAAGCTATGAGATTTCAGCCATACATAACCGAAATCTCCTCATTCCCTTTGAGATTTCGGTCCTAATTCCTTCACACAAGTAGTTTTTGGCCTTATTGGATCCTAGTATGTGTTTTCGGCCTTAGTGGGCTTGTAGGATGTTGATTTCGGTCTTGTGGTTTCCTATTCATTGTGATTTCGGTCTTGTTGTTTTCTATTCATTGTGATTTCGGTCTTGGTGTTTCCAAATCACTAAATGAGTGGAGTCCTATACTTAAGATTACAAGGCAAGACATTAATTCATGGTTTTAGTTTTTTTTTTTTAAATAAACTCATGTAAATCATGAGTCAGATACCTAATATATTATATACATAATTTGACCTTTCTTTTACTACCCTTTCTCTCCTCGCCCTTCAGCTTCCGGAGTTGCGGTGCCCCTACAATTGAAACCCCAACAAATAACAGAAACAAACAAATAACCATTTATACCGGCGGCTTCTCCGTCGTGAAACTAAGTTTTACTCAACGGCGGCGGTGTAGCCTTTCTCATAACAATCAATCAACCGGAGCCACAAATTTTATCAGTAACGAGTAAGAAAAGATGTCGTTGAGGATAAAGACAGTGGTCGAGAAATTCGTTGAGGAATTGAAAGAAGCTCTCGATGCAGACATACAAGATAGAAACATGAAGGAGAGAGAGATGCAGAGTTATATCGAAGAGCGCGAACGTGAGGTAGCCGAGCGTGAAGCTGCCTGGAAAGCCGAACTTTCTCGTCGAGAGGTCCGCTCAATTTCTTCCTTAATCATCTGTTTATAATCAGTTGTGTGAACTCTTGTATATATGAACTTTAGTTACTTCTACCATTTTATTACCTTTGGATTGATCCTGTAGAATAGATGAAAGGACACCATTCTCTCCTCAATCATACATTATTCCAGCTTTGCAATGATGTATGTATGAAAGGACACTATTTGGATGCTTTAAAATCAGTCATTAGTTTTGATATGCTAATGATCTTTCAAAAGGCTTACATTTCAACGAAATGCACATATGTAGTTGTAACCATTGAAGACAGATGTTATTTAGATTTTGATGCTAACTATGGTGATTATACCATGGATCTTGCATCTAAGGGCTAAAGTACTCTAGGATCTTGATCTTCTCCCCCCTTTAGACATCTATTTGCATTCGTTATAGCTTTAAAAACCCAATATGGGAAAATTTTAAGGGGTGATTCAAGATGTTCAATCTGTGATCTTCAAGTATTTTAACCCTTTAGACATCTATTTTTTTTTCAATTAGCATTATTTTTATTTATTGTTTCAGGCAGAGATTGTGAGGCAAGAAGTAAAATTGAAGATGGAAAGGGAAAACCTTGAGAAAGAAAAGAGTGTGTTAATGGGAACTGCATCGAATCAAGATAATCTTGATGGGGCTCTTGAAATTACTGTAAGTGGTGAAAAATACCGATGCCTCAGGTTCTCAAAGGCCAAAAAATAAGGGGGAAGATTTCCTTTTTAATCGATTGGATGGACATTCTGATATTCTTTAACGAATTTATTTTATTGGCATTAGTTGGTATGTATGTGTAGATAACTTATTGTTTATAATTCTAGTAGTCTCAATCGAATGCATGCCAAAAGCAATGTTGTTTGTTTTGTTATGTCATGTGATGTGTATGTAACAAAATGGGGTCTTATAGTGACCGATTCTTGATTTTCGAAGAAAATTGATTTGATTTTTAACATTTTCTGTAAATTTATTTCGATTACAACATTGTCTTTTGAAAAACCCACCAAGTTATGGAAATGTCATCTAAATTCTGTCAGTGTTGTAAACTCGACATACTCACCCGATTACTAAGATGGCCATGAGTCGAGGCGCTTTTCTGAAAATCTATTAAAAAACTCGGAATCAATCAAACTTGGGTCAAAATCAGAGAAAATCGGTCTACTTGGAGAAAAACGTTCCAACTCAGCCACCTTGGACAACTCGGACAAACTGTGAAAAACTCGGTGAAACTCGAGATTTTTAACTTTTTTTTTTCAAATAAACAACTATAATTGTTAAGTAATTATTTTAACATATAGCATATATTATTAAACATTTTCGTGTTTTGTTTTAAATTTTAATAAATTATGATATTTGTTATATAGATAATTTTTTCAAAATTAATTTCTTTATAAATACCCAATCTGAGTACTCCCTGTCTAGGACGAGTACTTGCTACTCGCTAGTCAACCATCCTAGAAGGGCTCAACGATTTTTGCAATACTGATAATGTTATAATTGGTTAGATTTTTTTTAACATATAATTGTCGTAATAACAAAAGATTGAAAGTACAATACTATTATGGCGTAGAATTTTTAATAGCGAGAAAAAAATTACGAGTATGTGTATGTAATAGAACAAAACAAAAGTAGGATGCTATAATACATAAATAAACGAAATATGTTGTTATTTCTTACATTTAGTCTTAACAAGATCATTTATCAATTTCCAAACTTTAAAAATCAAAAAAAAATTTACATACCGCAAACTTTTGGTCAACATCTTAGTCTGCAAATAAAAAACAATACATGTATTTTGCCTCTTAAAAATCAAACATCTTATTTTTGGTCTCGGCACAAACATTAATTACTTCATTTTAGGTGTCCAAATTGTAAAAAAAACAAATTAATTTTATATTTTTTTAGAAAGCATAAAAGCACAAGTGTTTTGGAATCAAATTCGTTTATTCCACTTGTCATTTTGAACAATACAAAAACGAAATGAAGGGTTGATAATGATTATACGAATGCAATGATAAGTTTGAGGGGCGTATCCGTTATTATTTAACAGTATGAGGGGTATTCATGTAATTTACCGAAACTGAAAGTCTGAAACCGATCGATCGGAAAAGCCACGCCACCATTTCCATTCAGACTTCATCACTGATTCATTCACTGCTTCTGAGTTTTTGGTTGGTGGAAACGAAGGCAAGAAGAAAGATCGAAGAAATGGAGAGCTCGGGAGAGATGGTGGCGTTCCCCTTGTTGATTACGCCGATCGAGACCAATTACAGGGCATGCACAATCCCCTACAGGTTCCCCTCTGATAACCCCAAGAAACCAACTCCCACTGAGCTCTCTTGGATCAACCTCTTCGCCAATTCGATTCCCTCTTTCAAGTATGCACTTCTCATTGAACTCCTGATGCGCACTTTGGTTATTTCAGTCGTGATCGTGGTTGTGGTAACTGGAATTCGATTAGATTCTGGTTCTGCAACTAGATCTCTATTACTGACACCTGTTCAATAAGAACTTTCACTTCATTATTCAATTTTATGCCTTCTGAATATACAAGTAAAGTTTCTTAAATGTTGTTTGCGATTGAGATTTCGTTTTTCTTAGTAAATCTAAGAATCCTAGAAAGGAAGGGGTATAAGGTGTGCAAGTGATTTCTCTAACCTAATTTGATTTCGCATGAATCCCTCATACGTGTTTGTTATGTTTTCTCTGTGTGACAGGAAGAGAGCAGAAAGCGATGATACTGTCTCCGATGCTCCTGCAAAAGCTGAAAAGTTTGCTCAAAGGTATTAATATCTTCCTTTAGCCTCTGGATTAAAGTTCAGTTCAATTGCACATAATTAGCTTTTCTGGATATCGAACTCACTGGCAAAAACGCACTGTTAAACCATGTAAGGTATACTGAAATACTAGAGGACTTCAAAAAAGATCCTGAAAGCCATGGTGGACCACCTGATTGCATAGTAAGCAAAATCTTCTTCTCTTCTATATACTTGATGAAATTTGAAATGCCATTAAGAACCAAAATGTTTTCATGGTTTTAAATTATTGCAGCATCTTTGTCGTATGCGTGAGCTTATCCTCAGAGAGGTTGGTTTCAGAGACATATTCAAGAAAGTTAAGGTGATAATATGTTTAAGGGAGTTCCTTTTTCATTAATTTGTTGTAAGTTTTAATCTCAAACCTGGAAATTGTAATTGATTGAGTTCTTTTTTTAAATTTGATGCTCTAGGAAGAAGAAAATGCTAAAGCAATAACCTTATTTAAGGAAGTTGTTGAGTTGAATGATGCTATTGAAGATGAATCAAAGCGAATGGAGAATTTGGTCAGAGGAATATTTGCAGGGAACATATTTGATCTAGGTTCTGCACAGGTATGCAGCCATCCCTCATGGAAATGCATATCACTATACCAATACATAAGGCATACAAAAGACATAACTACCCTTGTCATTTATTTATACAACTCCTCCTGTAACTAGCTTCCCAATCCCATCTAACTAATTGTAACTAACTTCCTGCACGTAGTTAAAGAAGTGCAAAGATAGAACTACAATTGTTGTTTCTTAAAGAAGTGCAAAGACTGAATTACCCTTACTAATTCTTCTCTCTAGAACTGTAACAATTTCTTCCTATTACAGCATTGTATCTTGAAAAAAAACTACCCAATTACAGCAATGCTAATCAAATATAAAACAATTTCACATCTATAATTAGGTAGATTTTTCAAAGTTTAATGCCCATAAACAAAATCTTCATTACTTACAGTGCAAAATTTTCGTGACTCTTGAAGCTTGCAGAGTTATTCTCAAAAGATGGAATGTCCTTTTTGGCCAGTTGTCAAAATATTGTTCCTCGACCTTGGGTTATTGATGATTTGGATACTTTCATTTCAAAATGGAGCAAGAAACCATGGAAAAAGGCAACTTCTTCTTCAAATAGTTTTCTTCTTTATGGATGTTTGTTTTTTAGTTAAGACATGTAACTAACTTGTTACATTTTTATCATAAAAAAAACAGGCTGTGATATTTGTGGATAATTCAGGTGCAGATATTGTTTTGGGTATATTGCCTTTTGCTAGAGAATTACTTCGTCATGGGACAAAGGTTGGATCTCATAACTTTATACTTCCATAGATAGGGGTAAAATGGTCATTTTCAATCATCTAGAACACTCATGTATTACATATACAGGTTGTATTGGCAGCTAATGACCTGCCTTCTATCAATGATGTAACTTATCATGAGCTACTGGAGATCATCTCAAAGGTACTACCAATTAACTAATAGATATTTGATTAATTAATATTCTAATAAATGTTGATGTGTGATTAGTTCATAGTTGATGATCTTAATTCTTAATGTGGTTTTCTATCAGTTGAAGGATGAAAATGGAAAGCTTTTGGGTGTTGATATTCAGAATCTTTTGATTGCCAATTCTGGTAATGATTTACCGGTAAGACACTGAAATGAGTTTTTCTTATTTATTTATTTATTTATATTTTTTAAATCTTTTGATTAGTTGGTTCATGGTTGGATTATGTGGTTGTTAATTTTTTGAGTATAATTGATAATTTGATATGACAGGTAATTGATCTTGCCAGCGTGTCACAAGAGCTTGCATACCTGGCAAGTGATGCTGACCTGGTAATTTGTGAAGGAATGGTGAGTCCTTTTCTATTATTTTTAACCATACACAGATAATGACCTTTTTATCCCTATGAAGTCCGTAACATATGCCAATGATAGTGTCCAAATTTTGTCCTAATTTGAATCAGAAAGGTGGAAGTAATTCAATTCCAGCCTTTCTTTTTTCATTAAAAGACAAGAATAGGAATACCCTCATTATATACGTATGTATAATACTGATACATAAAGACCAAAATACCCTCATTCATCCTTTTGCAGAAGGCTTGTGATTATGATTAGCAATGTTGTTAATTATTGTATAATGTTGTGGTTTGGCAGGGTCGTGGAATCGAGACAAATCTTTATGCTCAATTTAAGTGTGATTCCCTCAAGATTGGAATGGTAATACTAATTATTAATTAGTTAGATTCTTGATTCTTGTGTTCTTCAATTCCTTTTTCCTTTTAGTTTTGGTTATTAATTAATATTAATAGTCGAAATGTTGGAATGAATGAATGAAACAGGTGAAGCATCAAGAGGTTGCCCAGTTCCTTGGTGGGAGGCTGTACGATTGTGTATTCAAGTTCAATGAAGTTGCAACTTGTTGATTTAATTCTTTCTAAAAACTATAAAATATATATAACTTCAGGAGGAAGTGTAGTAGTCTGTACTCTGTAGATGATGACACACACACAATGAATCTCGTGTCTTTTGTTTTTTGCCTAACCACTTTCTTAAGTCCAAAGAATATTTTGATAAGTGGGAAGTGTAGGTGATGTGAAAATTAAATTGGTTCTTACTTAATCCTCTTACGTATTCAATAATTGTCATGTGTAAAATACTAATTCTTTTTCCTCATCTTATCTTTTGATTTTGACACTTGTGATGATCTTGTAAGCAAGAGGATAAGTAAGAACATTTAGTAGGATGATATTTCCTCTCATAATGATATATTAAAATAAAAAGTATTATAATTTAGAAGAGAAATTAAATTGTCTTCTATCTTTTATGCCTACAAAATATTCCTACCCACTAAAATTATGACAAATGTCATCATTTCACAATTTTTTTTAATTATCTCTTTAAGGGTATATTAGTGTAACACTGTGTTTCGGATGTTTCTTAAATTCAGGGTTTGTGGGTCGTACTCAATCATGTAAAGGATTTGGGCTTTAAGGAAGTAAAGTTTAGACCTTAGTAAATATTTGATAATATTGGTTGTGAGATCTAAGTTCTTGATTTCCATGCTGGAACCAAAGGGTAGAAAGGGAAAAGTTGTAGGTCGGGTTTCTTGTGGATTATCGTTTTAGTTCAACATGTGTTAAGCCAAAGGTAACTAGATAGGATTGTGGGGTTCATCAATATCTTTCCGTACATATAAAGAACGCCGAAATCGGAGTTGAAACGAAGAAGTTATGGCTGGTTGAAGTTGAGCAGGAAGATGGAAGTTTTGCCCTACGCAAGGCGTAGTGTAGCTACGCATGGCGTAGTGGCTGATGGAGGAATGTGTCTTTAATGATCTACGCATGGCGTAAATCTTGCTACGCAGGGTGTAGTTGCTGCTGACCAAAACCCTAATTAAGGAGTTGTGAACCGTATTTAAAGGCTTTAATCCCTTACGAGCCTTCCTATGCTCAGCTTCCACCCTCTTTGACACCCAACTCGAAAACCTAATCCTCTTGAGGTAGATTTGAGTCTCTTAGGTGTTTTGTGGTGCATTTTGAAGAAGGAGAAGCCCATCTTTGAAGCTTGGTGAAGCTCAAGCTTGTAGATTCTGAGCCTTCATTTCATTTGCTAACTCCAGAAGGTATAAAGCTTTCACATTGATGGTTCATTGAGTTAGATCTTGTTAGCTTCTTGGTTTTCATGCTTATTGTCCCATGATTTTGGTTCTTGTGAGTATGAGCTACTCCGGACCTTAAGGTTGTTATTTCTTGATGTTTGTGAGGTTGATATCTCATAAAAATGGGATCTTGGTTGTTATCTTTCACATATGCAAGAGTTTGTAGTCATTAGAGGATGTTATGGGACTAGTATTTGATCTTGAGCTTCATTTAGCCATGCAAAGGCATAAAGTCGGAGACTTTATTACTTAAGATGTTTATTAGGACCAGATCCGAGCAATAAATGGTTGGTTTTTATGGATTAAGAGCTAAAAAAGGAAATGACTTAACAACATACTACACATGGCGTAAATTGGGCTACGCCCAACGTAGCCTAATGGTTCCCCGGTCTTTCCACCTAAGACTCTACGCAACGTGTAGAGCATGGTGTGCGCAAGGCGTACCACCAGAGAGTGTAATTGGTCAAAATTGGACTTTTGGTCAAGATGAGTGGGGTGTAGCCTTGAAAGGGTAAAATGGTCTTTTACCCTAGAAAGAGAAAATTTAATTAGGACCCCTGATTATGGATTACCACCTTAATTGTTAATTAGGGTTAGGTTTTGGATATGCTTAGTGGGATGGATTTTAGCACCGAAAGCTCGTGTGTGAGATCCATTCGTTAACCGATCGAGGTGAGTCTTCTCATTGCACTGTAGGACACTAGGTGTCGTCATGTGCTTGTTGTCTTTGTGACTCTTGCTTGTATGCTTGTATGCTATATGTATGTGGGTGAAACAGAGCCAGGGGTGTAATAGACCCATTTGGTTGAAAAACACCAACTGAGTTGAAATAGACTCGGGGTGAAATAGACCTAGGGGTGAAATAGACCCGTTCGGTTGAAAAACACCGATTGAGTTGAAATAGATTTTGGGGTGAAATAGACTCGAGGGTGAAATAGACCCGTTACAGCTTCAAGATAATATGTATGTATAGTATGCGGTATTTTGGTGAACTCACTGAGCTTTGTGCTTACGATTTCATTTTTATGTTTCAGGTACTTTCGGTTCCAAGGGAAGAGCTAGACGTGATTGCATAACATCCACCAGTGTTCTGCATTATATGACTTGTTTTGTACTCTGATAACTATTTGATACATTTTTTTTTTACTTTGATTGGGTTATTGGAATGAATGAATGGTGATTTTGGTTGACTTAAAGAAAAATTTTCACTTAGGAATGAATGTATAAGAGCATTGGTTTGAAGTATTCGGGCACACAATCGGGTGTGTCTGAACTCATACTGAGGAATTGGTAACCTTTTAAAAGGAAATTAGTTTTTCTAAAAATACTTTTATAAAGAAAGGGGTGCGATGAGTGTAATCAGCTGAGCTCAAGTAAGTGATTCCCAAAATATCCATACATGTTGATACGTTATATGTGTTATGGAATGTTTAGTATGCAAAGGTTAGGATAAGGATATGTTTAGGATTGCATGCTAGAATGCCTATTAGGAGAGATGCCTATTAGGTGGGATGTATGTTGATGTTTTTGTGGCCTGTAGAGTTTTACTGCTCGAATGCTGTTTGCTTTGTGCTTTATAGGACTCATATTGTTGTGAGTTAATTATTTCATGAATATGTTAAGTTACATGATGTGATGTTTAATAATCTCATAGTGATTGATTTGGCCATATTGCGCAGCTCTCGTTTGAGTCTAACCGTTGTAGGATTGAGTCTTTTAGTCGAAGGATTATCTAAGCTTTGTTGCATGTAATTGTATTCATGAAGTAATTAGCTAGCATTAATGGGAGTTCTTCAGCAGCTGTTGGCAGGGAGAGGTGGGGGATCCTATGAGAGCCTAGGAAGTGCTTTAGTGCGAGAGGTGCACTGTTTAGCGGGTATTGGGAGTATCAGTATGAGGAGGTGATTTAGAGGATTTAGGATTGTTCCTGAGGAAAGTATGGATATGTGTTGAAGGTAGTATTGGGCTCGTACTACTGAAAACACAAGATCTGTACTCGAATCAAGGGAAGTCACAAGGATACTAAGGAGATTATAGAGTGTAGAGTTCTCCGAGTATTCTCTAATGGTTTGCATTGTTTATTTTTAGTATGGTGGTCACTCGGGGAGGTGCTTCTGGTTCAGGTTCTGGTGATGGATTGGGTTCAGGCTCTGGGGCTGTACTCGTGGATGATCAGATGCAAGAGTTCATTTCATCAAAGATCACTCGCAGTATTTTGGAGCAGACTCCTCTGATCTTTGATACAATTAAGTAGGGTATCATGGATATTTTGGATGAGTGTCTGGGCGCATTCTGTGCTGAGATTTTGGCTACAGTGGGTGCACGCACCCTGACTTTCCTAGAGTTTCGTGCATGTGGAGCTCCTGAGTTCTTCGAGAGGAAGGACACCATAAATGCCAGGCGTTGGTTGGCGAACATTGTGAATGCGTTTCGGACGAGCTTTTAACTCGAGGGGTCGAAGGTCAGATTCACATCCTGTCTACTGAACGGCAGAGCCCGAGATTGTGGGAGGAGGTAGACTATCCCTTGGGAGATGAAGTTGTTGAGACGATGTCTAGGGATGATTTAGTGACGAGGTTCAGAGTGGATTTTGCACCGACCATTGAGGTGCAACAGTTGGCGAGGGAGTTTTAAGACCTTCGTCAGACGACGAAGACTGTGGCGAAGATCACCGCCAAGTTCAGGGAGAGGGGTTTGCTGGTTCTGCAGTACGCTGCAGATGAGGAGATGAAGAATATAAGGTATCATGATGTTACACTCGAGTCCTGGTAAGTTTCCTTTCTAACCCCTTTAAATTGTAATTTTTTCACTTTGGCCCTTATGCGGGGCGTACCTGGATGGTACGCTGGGCGTAAGGGGTTAAAGGTGAAGCGGTGACGTTTTGGGAGTACGTTGGGCGTACTCTGAGTACGCAGGGCGTACTCCTACTGGACTTAAACCTTAATCTTTAGGTTTTAGGCCCTATATATTAAACCTTAAGTCCCATTTACCCATCCCATTTCTAGCCTCCATCACTAGAAACGTTCCCCCTTGCAAACCCTAGCCTCGTTGTTGCATTTTGAAGCTTTAAAGTGTATTTTTGTGTATTTCAAAGGAAAGAGAAGGTGGTGGTGAAGCTTGGAAGCTAAAAGCAATCTTAGATTGGGAAGTCTTGCATTATCCTCAATCTCCAGAAGGTATAAAGTTCATACCTTGGTGATTAACTCGATAGATCTTGTTGGTATGATGATATTATGAGTTTTTTCCACAAATATTAATTTCTTGGGCATGGCAAGCTATAGAGCATATAGGTTGTCCTTTTTGGACGTTTTTCTATGTCTAAAGTAATAAAAAATAGGATCTTGGATATTTCTTCTTCCCCATGCATGAGTTTAGTTGTCTTAATGGCTTGAGATGTTGGGGTTTTTAGTGTTAAGAACTTTATGACCATGCAAGACCATAAAGTTCAAAACTTTATGGTCAAGGACGACATTTTGGGCATAGATATGGTTTTGAACGAAAAGTCTTGATACATTAAGCACTTATTTAGAAGGTTGGCTAACCAGGTGCGCATGCTGGGCGTACCAAATGATACGTTGCGCGTACGGGATCCACGTCCCGACTTCTTGGTCAAACGATGTACGCCTCACGTACATCTGAGTACACCCTGCGTACGAGGATGGGTCGAATCGGCTGGGTTGACTCGACTGGTTTGTTGAGTTTGACCAATTTTGACCAAAGGGTATTTTGGGTATTTGATATTAATTTTTAAGATGGGATATATTTTGTATAATAGGTGTCGAGTAGAGCCGGTTTTCGGAGCAGGGATTTATTCAATTTTGTTCGGACTGAGAGGTGAGTTTTCCTCATTGTATTTTGCGGGTCGAAGGCACCAAGGCCGACCCATTGGTTTGGTAACCTGTTTTATACTATTTGTTGATATGTTGAGCACACG